TCTCTCTCTCTCTCTCTCTCTCTCTCTCTCTCTCTCTCCTTCTACATGTTATTACTGGAATGAGCAATAAAGAAATCTTACACAATGGATTCTTTCTTTAGAAGATCTATGGCTTCCTATTCAACAGTCTGAACCCATAGTACATGCTAATCTCAGAATTCTATAAACCTCAGATCCTGCCTAAGCCAGAGGATCCCTGAGCTCATGCCTAGCTAGGAAATTCTATGACCCTAGAAAAACCCTATAATCTGTCTGAACTCTTGGGGTTTTTTCACCTGTGTCTGATGATATCCAATAAGGTAGTCACTAGAGGCATGTGACAAGTGACCACTGGAAGTGTGGCAACTCCAGACTAAGATGCACTGAAAGTTTAAAACTTTATTATACTCCAGATTTTTAAAAACCTTAATCCAAGTAAAATGTAAAATACCTAGTTGATAATTTTTATTGGTATAATTGGTTGATACCGACTAAAAAAAGATGTATTTTGGAAACATTGGGTCTAAGAACATAATAAAATCCATTTTATCGTTCTCTTTCATCTTCTTTAATATGACTACTAGAACATTTTAAATAAAGATGCAGTTCACATGTCCTTTTCTATAGGTCAACATTGACTTTTAAAAACACATCTGCCACCAAGTTGTCATAAGAATCAAAATAAATCATATCTTCACTTCTCATGAGCTTTTCAGCTAAAACACAGATGCTGTAAAGTCATACTCACTATTGTTATAAAATGCTCTGTGTCTTTAAGTCTTGTGACAGCTCACAAAGGCCATTGTCATTTAGGTCTATCTGTATTCCTGTAACAAAGGGTGATGAAATGCTATGTGAACAAGTCATTCTCCCCCACTCCCTGTCAATATATATTTACATGGACACTTATTGAAATGAAATACAAAGAAAGATCAATGTGGTTATTGACACGGTGCAGAAAGATGAGGTAATTTGAGAACAGTACATAGCTAGAATCTCAGTGATGACGTAAGAAGCAGACTGGGCTAAACACGCCTGGAGGGAGGCTCACATTTGAAGAGGACATCATCAGCCAAGGAACAATGAGGAACACTTGATGGTAAAAGAAGCAAAAATATTCCATGAATTCAGTCCAACGTGCAAAATGGGGGTCCCATGGTCTAACTGGCTTCTTTCCCTATCTTGTAGGTAGAGCAGTTCAGTTTCTCCAACAGAAATGCCATTCCATTACTCCATGCACAACACGTGCCTTGAAACACCTGGCAGATAAAAGAACTGGAGAACTTGTAACAACGATCGTGGCACAATCGATGAAATTCAAAACGCTTGGTAGGTCTGGAGTGGGGAGGAAAAGCCATGCCCCGACTGGGTGTGTGTGTAACACAGCCACGATGGTATCCCCAAAAGGTTTAGGTTCAGTACATCCAGAGCTCAGAAATCTCACCATTAAATGCCAAGAGAAGCCAGTGTTCCTTCGAGGAAGAAGGAATTGAGTTGTCCTGAACAGGTCTGTACTCTCACCAGGTCAAGCCTTGAGACGTTTTATGAATATTAATTGCTGTATTTACTGACCTTGGGCAGTTGCTAACCTAACATTCCAGCCATTGTTCAAAGCCTATCATGTTCTTCCAGGCTGTTGATTTTGGAGTGGCTGTGTAATCCTAGTGAACTGCTCAAAAAGAGTGATCAATCAACACACTGACGGCTTCTGGTTCGTCCCAATACCTGCTAGCGGCTTTGATAAATAGGATTCATGGGACTGTGTGAAATTTACATTGTGGGAGTACTTAAATACATGTGGGAACATGGCAGGCTATTGTCCCTGTTTTTTTTTATTACATTTAAACAAAGTCTTTTGTTTACAGCAAATCCTTACTTGTGCCAAGTTTATTCTGTCGCAAACAAGTCACTCAAACTCTATGCACCACTATTCACGTTTCTTCTATGCTTTTAAATATTACCATGCACACACATTTTGTGGTAGACAAAATAATCAAATTAAAAATACAATAAATAAAATACTGGAAAGTAATAAAATTTGAAGTTGTTCATATATCTCACTTTAGAACTCTAGACAAAGGCACTGAAGAACACATCATGTTATAATAATTTTTCATGAATCTGTGTGTGCTGCAAAGTTTATACTGGGCCCCTAAGCAGCTTCCTTCTGTGTCCTGAAGACTAGCACTCATGTTTGTAAAGATATCAAAGAATTATAATTCTTCAAGAAAACCCACAGAATCAACAGACCTGGACTCAAAGGGGCTCCCTGAGAATGAATCCATGACAATCAGGGAGTCTGCATGGGTCTAAGCTAGGTGCTCTGCATATGCTATGGTTGTGTAGCTTGGTGTTTTGGGGGACTCCTAACAGTGGGAGCGGGAGCTGTCTCTGACTCTTTGGCCAGCTTTTGGGACCCTACTCCTCATACTGGGTTAATATGAGCAGATATGCCTGGTCTTATTACAACTTGTTAGGCCTTGTTTGATTGACATCCCTGGATGTCTTCCTTTCTCTAAAGGGAAACTGAGGAGAAGTGGATGAGCGGTGAGGGAGGAACTAGAAGGAGAGGAGAGAGGGGATGTGGTCAGGATGTAATATATGAGAGAATAAATTAATAAAAAAAAAAAAGGCATTACAATTCTTTAAAAAAAAAACTGACCACTTCTTTCCTGCAACCTATTTTTTTCTAAGTAGTCACAATCTCTCTGCTCATCATATGCTTTTGTCATGCATTATAACCAGGCCAGACGAATCCAGACCATGTCCACACACCTCCTGCTGACTTGGACTTCTCTCTGTTGCTTTGAGACGGCCTTCAGATCTAGAATGCCCTTCACTCATGCCCCATGTGACCGCTCCCCAGCGAGAGGCTGCTGGAGCTGTGCACACTGGAGGGGTAGCAAGCATGCTGGAAGCATGCCTGCTCTCCTGACCTCACCAGCTGCAGGGAGAGGAAAAAGCCGATCAACACGTGAACAGAATGCCTGCGCTAGCCCGGGGTTCTCAGGGAAGAAGACGTGGCCTGAAATGCAGGGCTGGGTGAAATCTTGAGGCAGGGAAAGCCTCACAGAGGTGGCATTTGAGAATTACACCTTGGGGCTGTTAAAGCAAGCTTTTTTTTTCTTTTTAAATTTGTACACATTACATTTTGATCATATTCTTTCCCTTTCCCAAAGTCTCCCTGGATCCTCCCCATCTCCCTGTCTACCCAACTTCATATCTTCCCCTAACAATGATATTAATAACAATAAATAAAGTTTTAGAAAAATACCACAAACCAAAAGACAAAAAACACCAAACCATAACAAAAGAACACACACACATACATTCACACACACACACACACACACACACACACACACACACACACACACACCAGAATAAAAAGGCACCGTGGGACCCGCTCTGTGTTATCAATTGCTCCTGAGCACAAGGCCTGTCCCAGAGTGTAGTTGATGATAAACCCAGTGCCACTCCATCTGCAAAGGCAGATTTCCCCTCTTTACAGCTATCATGCAATGCTTGGTTAGGGGTGGGGCTCTGTGTCCACTTCTTCTCCATCCTGGGATTTTGTCTGACTTGGGCCTGTGCAGATGTGTGCATGCTTTGCCAGTCTCTGTGAGCTCATATGTGCGTTTTTCCTGTCATGTCCGGGAAACAGCATTTCCTTGGAGTCATCCACTACCTCTGGCTCTTACAACCTTTCTCTGCCCTCTATTCTGAGCCCGGAGGGGAGGGCTTTGGTATAGATATCCCATTTAGGGGTGAGTGCTCCAAGGTCTCTCACAGGGTGAGCTATAGCTGTCTCTTCATTTTGGTATTTTCATTTCCAGCTACCCAGGGCAAGGTTTATCCACATCTCATGTACCTTCATATCCTCCCTCCAGAGCTATGAACACAGTAAATGCTTACATTCAAATCAAATTAACTTTCAAAAAGTGCTACTTATGAGCTGTTTCCTATTTGAGTTATATTTTGTACCTCATCTAGCTCTGAATCATATGAGATTTCAAAAGTCATTGCTACCTCTAGACCTGTTTACTGTTCTCTGTTCAGAAAACCCCACCAATGGCTGCCGAGGGCTCATCTTGAGAGTTCAAGTGGAGAAATAATGGTCTCTTCCATTAGTTTCAGATAATTATGCTTTGGTGAGTAAAAAGGGAAGTTTTTTGACTTTCCACTTGAAAGCATCCCCCCATTGGGGGATTCCTCATTGAAAGCATAAGAAAGGGAAGTTTTAGTTAACTAACCAGAGTACTGAGAGGAGCCCTATACACTATAAACTGGATCTCACAAAGTCGGCAAGAGGAGGCACAGTTTTGTTTTTCTTTCTGCTTTTGTTTGTAATGGGGGTATCGTCTGTCTGTGTACACATATGTGTGTGAGTACGCTCATGTTCAGGTGCATGCGGACCCGGAGGTTGACATCAGGTTTCTTCTCTACCTCATCTCATTAGAGAGGTCTTTCACTGTTTCCACGCACCCGGGGCTGGACTTACAGGTCCCTGCTGCCATGCGTAGCTAGAGCCTCTCCAGTCCTTGACAAGGGCACTGGGACTGAACTCAAGTCATCTGGCTTGCACGGCAGACATTTCACCTACTGAGCCATCTGCCCAGCTCTTCTTTCTCTCTTCTAAAATAAATGTCCTGCTCTTTTGTCCTGGACTTAAATACTGTGGTCTATAGAATCTTTTATTCCTTAAGTGACACTTATTAAAGGTAAGTAAATTGTTCTCCCAGAAGAACAGGTAGGGCAGGTAATAAAAGTGCCCATTTCTGAAGAATCCAAATGTCCCTAACTAGTTGGGATCTGATTCTGAAATTCCAGTTTAACAAAAGAACCCCCACCTTCCTACCAAACAAAGGAATGCCTCAAAGTTTAAACCGAAGCCACACAAATACTCCACATTCTACTTCAAATACCAAGAACAACTGGGGTCTTTTTCCTCCTGCTGCATTTGACATACATTTTAATGATGCTTACTTTACAGCATGTCAGAAAAGTGAAATGGCCTGTCGATTTTATAGAGTCTCCTCTATCTTTTGGATGGTTATATTACATTTTGAAATAAATGTATAACCCCCCCCTTTTTTTTTCTTTTTAAGCCTAAATGGTGCGTGTGTGGGTTGGTGCTTGGCTGCCAGTGGAATGAAATCATCATTTCTGGGGTCCAAGAGAATAGATCAAAATCATGCCAGCGTTTTCATGGATGGATATATGCTGCTAAATGGATGTTTACCTAGAAAAGTCATCGTCTGGCATACAGCGCAGAGAATGTTCTTATGCAGCTAACTCATGTATACTAAACAAATTTGGCTTGGCTGCTGCAAGAGCTGCCCGGTGGAAATTCTCAACATACATTTGTTTGATTGAGCCGTCATTCTGGGTTGATCTGCTGATGATCTGTGTCACTTTGTTTAAATGTTCTTGTGTGGGATATATATATATATATATATATATATATATATATATATATATATATATATATCTCACAGTGAAAAGGCAGTGCATTTCTGTGATGGATTAAATAGAGGTGAAATTTGAGAGTGGCTCCTGTTTTCGATTCCTGTGTTCTCAGGCAGGTGGGTCTGGAATAATCAAGAATGTCACATTCAAACACAGGGGAAAATAAGGAGCAACTTTGATTTAAAACACATTACTGTAAAGATATATTTGCTACTGTGTTCTCCTACTATAAGAAGCCATTTAGGATTCCCCATCCAAACAAACACCATATGGACTGACTCTCAACCTCTCTTTTAAATATCTGAAATCAGGGACAGGGAGCTCTCTGCGGGGCACCCCAGTCGTAGAGAAGCAAGCAAGGGCTCACTGATGTTTAGATTCAGAAATCAAATGCAAGGGCGGGCTAGAACTGAAGCTCCAGTTCTCAAATATCCGTGTAATGGCTCAGAAGGAAACCCAACACCATGAGGCCATACCACGTCCAGGCACTAATCAAGCGGCTGCCTGTTTGCTCCGTGGTTAAAGCACTTCCCGCAGCTAATCTCCCGAGATAGGGTCTCAGCTTTAATAACCCACGGGCTCTGCCATTAAGTGCTGGGATCTGGCCACCATCAGCATTGACATCTCTGCTCTGCCGACGTCCAGACATCACGTGGCACACACACACACACACACACACACACACACACACACACACACACACACACATCCTTCCCTCAGACCTTCTGGAGGTGGTAAACCAAGCATCTGCCTTGAGCTCTGTCTTCCTAGGCATAAATAAATATCCTTGACCAACACACTATTATTTTTAAAATCAGCCAACTTCACATCATTCCTTTGGGTTAACACAAAACAATCTCCCAAACTTGTAGCCATTAATCACTTATTTAAAGATCTAGGGGCCATACAGGCTTGGAGTATGTTCTCTGGAAATCAAAGTGACTGGCTCCATTTCTGGCCTCAAAAAGTAACATCCTAGTCGAGAAGACATACAAACATCACACACTACACTATTGCCCATTGCAGGGAGGGCAAGGGTAGAGATTATCATTAGTAAACTAAGTTGGCCACTCCAAGGGACCAGGACTGGGATGGGTAACTAAGTCACATGTAGAGGAACGGTGGGGAGCAAAAGTTGAGGTTGGTGCCCTGGGCAGTTGAGTGGCTACAAGAGAACTCTAGGTAACTGCAGGCTTAAAGGAACATGAAGACCAGATTATCAGTCTGGAATCAAAGGGCGAAATCTCCTTGCATGCCCTACCAGCACGGATGCCAAGGAAGGTGCCCACAGAAACCTTCCCTCTGTCTGCATGCGATTAAGGAGTGTCCGTGCCTCAGAGCCCCATCCTGTTCACTCAGTCAATACACTTTTCAGTGCCAATTGCACTGACTTTCCTGTGCAACCCTAGCTCTGGCGGTGTTTGCACACACAATGCAGGGAAACACACATCCCTTGCACATGCTGTGTGAGGTGGGACTCCTAGAGAAAGGCCCTTTATGTGGACAGACTTGGTAAAATCTACACGCAGCTAAATTCAATGTGTAACTTTGAGAAAAAAATTCAACAATAATATTAATAATAAGATAATATTAATAAAATATTATTCAGTAAAAGTGTTGATTATATATTTCAATAATATAAATGTATTATATAATACATTTATAAATATATATATATAAATAACGTTATTAATTATATTAGTGTAATATAATTACTATGATAATCATTTATTAAGATAAGTCAAATGATTTATTAAGTGAATATGCAGAAAATCTTACAAAATGACACCCTCAGAACCCGTCTCCAAAGCCCACAGGGCTCCCCACACCCACCACTAGCTTGGCCCTCAGCCATGTGCTTCCTTCTTCCCCAAGTTATCTTTTTGATATTGTTGTGGATTTGGAGGCTTGGGAGAAGAGGGGAGAGGAGAGTTGAGTCTTATCCATTATTGCTTAGCATTATCTATGATTGTTAATTTTTACACAATGTCCCCATCTTGTCACTGCAACAAGTCCAATGAATAGCAAAGGACAGCATCACAGAGTGCCATAACCTTCCGCTTCCCTCTCCTGTGAGTCGTGTCTTCTCATACACACAGAGAAAACCCTGTTGGATTCTGACATGCTTCTGGGCGTTCTGCTGTGGGTTTTTGATTTTAAGAATACAAAGGGAAAGAGAATTAACCATAAGGCACTTACATATTTTATGGACTTGCACCATCCAAAGGACACTGGTAATAAAGCCCTTTCAAGGCGGTGGGTGTTTATCACGGGCTAGCCACCAAGGCAGATAGTAAATAAAATAAGATACAAATATAAACAAAAATAAGAACAAGATAAAAATTCAAACTAAGTAAAATGCTCCTTATTGTTTTGGCTCTTGCTATCTAGTTATTATATTAGCCCTGACTCTGCCCCTGGTTTCCTGAGAAAAAAATCAAATTGGAAGATGGGTAAAAATTTACATACTTGGCTGCCAAATTTCTTTGCCTGGGAACTAAGGGATCAAATCAGTCGGTGCTGAGAGACCTTGTCTTCAAAGAACTTTGGAAAACTGGCTCCAAAGTCAATAAATGCTTTTCTACACAGCTAGACACTCTTGTAACTCAGGAATTTAAAACATTGAAAAAATAAAAATAAGTATGAATATCTTTTTCCTTAGGTGTAGAAAGACTTTGAATAAGTAACTAATAATAAGCATAGATCCGGGACTTTAGTTGTTGTCTCCAAGCCAGACTTGCCCACACATGAACACACGTGCATACGCACACAGATGCACACCACCAAAGCACTCAAGGCTTGCCTTATTGAAATGACAAAAGCTGATCCTTGCCACAATTACAAATGCACAAAGAGAAGAAAGACCAAACCTCAAACTATCCAAAAAGCCAGAACTCAAAACATTATTGAAGTTCACCAACAAATAGAAATAAGCCAGCTTGAAATTAATTAGGAATAAACTGGAAGCGAATGCAGCAGGGTGGGAGGCAAACCGGGCATCTGCAGAGCAATCTTGAACTGCTTTCAAAGTGCAGTTCTGTCCCTGGACTCTTGCCTACAGAGACCACTAGAGAAGGAAGCCTACCAACCCCCTTCACCCCCAGGGCAGGCCGATTCCTGAGTTAGTCCCACAGCAGTCTCCTCTACCCTTTGGCTGCCAGGCTTCCTGGAGCTCTGCCCTGCAGACTAGAGAGCTCCATGCAGAAAAGGGCTCTGGCCACCCCGCCAGCCTGGTATTTGGCTCCCCAGCCACAAGTATGATGGATGATGATGAATCACAGCGCCACCAAAACCGTGTGAATTCCCAAGGCCTCTGATTATTTTAATCGAGCCCCCAGAAGCAGCCCAGGCCTTGACAAAAGCCTCTGAGCAAACCTCCCATTCCCCTTGTCTGTTTGACACAGACCTCACTAAATAAAGCAGCGGGCCTGATATGGCTCCTCTGGTTGACACACAGATCCAGGCCTTCATACTCATTGTTCGGCGATATGATTTAGCCTTGAATGCATTTTTAATGAACACTCAGAATCATATCACAGCGGCATGACCACTCTGGCTTCTCTCTGGGGAAGATAATAGTTTATGAACACTTGTGGGTCACAATTTCTCCAGTGCTCTCCTGCTCTGCCAGATGATATGGTCAAATCGCTTTCTTGTCTATTACCCACCTCTTTCTCTCTCTCATACACACACACACACACACACACACACACACACACACACACAGAAAGAGACATAATGTACACAAACATTAGTGCACACATGTACAATATCTTTCTTTCGATAAAATTCATGCTTAATATATAAACAGCTGAACATAGACACAATAGTAAATTTTGTGTTATGATAAGAGACTATTATAGGAGAACACAGATGTTTCTTTTAATGAGTTGGGGACTTTGACTTATTCAGACTGTTGGCTTGTTTGAGTCAGTACGTTTATAGCTCGCTCGGTGGGAACCCACTCCAGGTTTGTAGAGTGAGGGTTCTCCCACTGTTGTTTGCCTCCTGCACTGTGTCAGATCAGTACAGGGAGAACGGATGGGGCCATAGCAGCAGTAACTCCACCAGGTTCACCACATTAGGACTGTGAGTGTGCCCTTGACGGCTAGGACGCCTTCCACCGGCAGTTTCTAACAGGTGGGTACCCAACTACGCTTTTACCACCAAATCCCCACTGGACTACCTCCTGAGTTCTTGAACTATCTCAGAATTGTACAGAGACATGAGGAAAAGGTTGGCAATATGGCTCAGAAATCACTCCAAACTGTCTGCATAGGAGTGGTGTGGGGAAGGGAACCCGGATGGTCAGGTCAGCACAGTAAGGAAACTGTTTATAGGAAATGA